TTCCCTCTCTCACCCACTATATCCCCACCCTCACCCACTATATTCCCTCTCTCACCCACTATATTCCCACTATATCCCCACCCTCACCCACTATATCCCCTCTCTCACCCACCATATTCCCACTATATTCCCACTATATCCCCACCCTCACCCACTATATCCCCACTCTCACCCACCATATTCCCACCCTCTCCCACTATATTCCCACCCTCACCCACTATATTCCCACCCTCACCCACTATATTCCCACCCTCACCCACCATATCCCCATCCTCACCCACTATATCCCCACCTTCACCCACTATATTCCCACTATATTCCCACTCTCTCCCACTATATTCCCACTCTCACCCACCATATTCCCACCCTCTCCCACTATATTCCCTCTCTCACCCACTATATCCCCACTATATCCCCTCTCACCAGGGAGAAGAGGGAGGAGGAGCTGGAGTATTTCATCACCAAGAAGTACAACCGCCTGGGTTCAAAGGTCAAGGAAAAAGTGACCAGCCTCAACAGCCTTCTCTCTGACCGGGACATGGTGCTCAAGTGACCACTGGGCCGCTGGTGAATGGTCACTCGGGCACTGAGGAAGCGTTAATGACCGGCTGGATCTCCTCTCTCATCTGTGTGTCCAGTGTCCAAACTGTGTCGATGCCGGCGTAAAAGACTCCTACATTTACAACAACAAAAGAAATAAAACTTGAGTGTGTACTGAACGGTTGGCGTGTGGATGAATGACTCTGTCGGCATACGTTTGTCTATTTATGCTGCCACGGCTGATTTCATCGACCCTAGTTTGAGTCGCTTTTTTCATCTGATTTTCCTATTGGTTTTTTTATCTTATTTTTGTCAAACTTTTCAAGTGACTCCCAAGTGAGCAGTATTGTGTGTTCCCATTTGACTGTTGAAAACTGTCCAGGGTACTGCCTGACTTGTTTGGTTTACCTGTTGTGGAGCAGCTCCCGACAGAACGTGCTGAAGTCATCCAACATCTCCCCCTCTGACCCAGGAAGTACACCACACAGGCCAGCAACTAAACAAAACCATTTTTTTAAAATCTTGACCCAGTAATAAAAAAGTTTTTCTCTTTGGGCCCTATATGAAAAACTCTTTGGATGCATACACAGGATCACTACAATAAATGACTGACAGAAACCTTGCCTACAAATTGCTCATTTTGAGACAGCGACACCACCGTGACCCCACCCTTCCACTGTGACCCCACATTTCTGTGTAAGCCAAGGGGGTTCTACAGTTGTAAGGTCCTTGGTGTAAGCTTGTCGATTTCATTCCCCGGCTGTCTAGACGTCTCCACGTGCTCCACGTGAGTCTCGAAAAATATTCACCCCATCTCTTGAATCGTGTTTCTTAAAGAGTGGTGTTAAAGAAAGCATGTCCACTTTTGAATGTTTTAGCTGTATGCTGTAAATCCCCTAGTAGATTTTTGACCCGCTTTAGGCTTCCATCAAAGACAACGTGTGGGAACATTAGTTTGCAGTGACATTTATAGATGGGCCTCTAGACTCTCTTGGCCATCCAACTTCCAGACCTGTGTGCAAAGATCAGAGGAGTTGTTTTTGTTGTCTCTTTCTCTACGTCCAGTATTTGTTCATCTCTTTTCCTACGTCCAGTATTTGTTACGTCCAGTATTTGTTCATCTCTTTTTCTATGTCCAGTATTTGTTACGTCCAGTATTTGTTCATCTCTTTTCCTACGTCCAGTATTTGTTACGTCCAGTATTTGTTCATCTCTTTTTCTACGTCCAGTATTTGTTACGTCCAGTATTTGTTCATTTCTTTTTCTACGTCCAGTACAGTATTTGTTATGTCCAGTATTTGTTACGTCTCTTTTTCTACGTCCAGTATTTGCTACGACAGAAAAAGTATATTTCTGGGAAGTCTGTCTGTGGAACTTTTTTTTTTTGTAATCCAGATTTTCTGCCACATTTTAGGCTGACTTCGCTTGTGGTAGAAATATGAAAGTAATGTTCTGTGCTTTTGGTTATAAGTTGGACTGTAGGATGAAAGATGTTGTTGTTGAGCACCGGTATACACCCCACAGATGCTACTGTCAATATTATTGCTAGTATTAAGTTTCATTATCATTGTTGATATTACTATAATTTTTTTATTTTTTTATTATTATTTTTGTAATTTTTATTTTCATCATCATTATTTTTATTTCTTAAAAATATTTCAGTGACTTACAAGTTACATGTACCGGAGTGTTGTGCCTTGAGAAGTTGGGAATCTTTTCCTGCAAGGGAATAAAGTTATGTCAGATGACAGTGTGTGGGTTTGTGTGTGGGTTTGTGTGTGGGTTTGTGTGTGGGTTTGTTAGATGTGACAGTGTGTGGGTTTGTGTGTGGGTTTTTTGTGTATAAAAAAAGTGAGGTTGGATGATGTAAGAAAGGTTGGTTGTTTTTTGTTTGTTTGTTGTTGTTGATTTTGTGCCGTGGTAAACGAAACGAAATATTCTGTAAGTAAGACGATGAAGACCGAGTGCCGTGGTAAACGAAACGAAATATTCTGTAAGTAAGACGATGAAGACCGAGTGCCGTGGTAAACGAAACGAAATATTCTGTAAGTAAGACGATGAAG